CTGAGGGGGGACGCGGGGCGAGGGCCGGGGTCCAGGCCCGGGACAGAAGGCCCGGGTGGAGGACGACGGTGGGTACCCAGGGGCGGGGGGAGGGCTGGGTCCGAGGTGGGGCGGGGGCGACGGCCGGGGTCCAGGCCGGGGACAGAAGGCCGGGCTGGCACCCCCAGCAGCCGCCCGCAGTCCAGGCCGCGCGGTCCCCCTCACGTCCCCTCAGGCAAAGGGCCGCCTGGCCGCCCCGTGGCGGGTGGAGGCTTTCCGGTCCCACCCCGAGGTGCCCAGTTACCAGAACCGTTGGGGCCGATGATGCAAGTGAACCTCCTGAAGGGACCAATGAGCTGGCGGCCCCGCCACGACTTGAAGTTCTCCACGAACAGCAGCTCCAGGTGGCCCATGGCTGCGCCCTCGGCGCCTCAGCAACGTCCTCACACGCCGGCGAGAAAAAGCGCGGGAAGAGCCTCGCCAAGTCTCGCGAGACGAGAGCGAGCCCGCGGCGAGCTCCGCGCGGTTCCTTGGCAACGGGAGTGTTGTTGGCGTTTCCGAGGCGGCAGGATCTCCGCCGCGTTGGCGGCGCAGGGAAAGCCCGACTGAAAGCGGCGGTGCAGACGCCTGTCCCACCCGCCCAACCTCTGCGTGCGCCAGCTTCTTCTGGGCTACAGCCTGCTTTCTTTTTGTTGTCTTTTTTTCTTATCTTGCATGTTCTGAAAACCGCGTAGAATTTCCCGTCGGTTCCCAGAGCCATGGAGGTGGCGCTGCCTAAGGACCTGAAGGGGTCCGCTAGCCTGGCCGAGAGGAGACACGCGGAGCTGTGCAGGCAGGAACGGGTCTTCAACGCCAGGAACCGGATCATTGGGGTGAGCGCCAGGGCCCGAAAGGGAAGGGGCGGGGAGCGAGTGTGGAGGGGCGGAGGCGGGCGGCGTGGGAGAGAGGAGGCGAACTTTTGGAATGAAACTTTTGACCCAGGCACAGCTGCAAGCTCGCCAGGTGAGGGCATGGGGGTGGGGGAAGGAACAGTTCGACGTATTGACTTTGCCCAAGGTGGGAGAGACCTTAACAGGCCAAACAGTGTGCCCTCTCACTTGACAGATGGGCACATGGGGGCCCAGAGAGGAGGGCAGCTTGTCTGGAGTTAGTGGGGAAACAGAGATTAGATCGCGGTTCTCCCCGCTCTGAACCAGATTTTCTGCGTTACCAGGGGTTCCTTCCTGTTCATTCATTTGACAAGCGCCAGTGGAATTGCTATTTTGTGCCAAGCCTGAGCCAGGTCGAGATGAGGAATAAGGCAGTCCCTGACCTTGCAGAGCTCATGGCCCAGTGGAGGAGGCAGACATTAAAATATTAAAATTACGTTAAAATGCAGTGGAATCAGTGCTGTGAGCGAGGGGAGCACTGGGGTGCCACATGAGCACAGACTGGGGCTGAGGGCTGGGGGGAGAACCAGAGAAGGCCTCCCAGAGGAGGTGATGCCTAAGGAATATTTTGAGGGTGAGTATTTGTTAACTAAGAGAAAGGGGGAAGGAAAGGCGGGGTAAAGTTGAGAGCCAAAGAGTATAAACAAAAGCATCCAAGTATGAAAGTCCTGATATGTATGTACCTAAGACAACCCTTTTACAGTGGAGCAAGTCCAAAACCACAAGTAGGATTGTTATCTACTGAACAAAATTATCTGGCTCTAACTCTTCTCCCCTGGTTTGACATACCCAGGGAGACACAGAAGCCTGGAATCTTCAGGTTCATGACCAGAACATAAAAGAAGCAACTGAAAAAGCTAGACATGAAACCTTTGGTGAGCATTTCCTGAATGCTTTATCTGTTGGTATAGGGCTGTGTGCCTAAGTCTTTATGTAAAAAATCGTCATTTTCACGCTCTTCCTCCTTTTAAAATCTCTTGTGCTCGATTAACTTAATGTGCTAATTCTTTTTCTCTTAAAAGAAAAACAGCTAGTGAATTCTAATGTAGATGGCAGGAAATATATTTTTAGGATAAATGTATGTTTTTCTCTGTTCTCTTAAAAAACTGGGTAGGAAAAGCCTTAAACACATTCTCTCTCTCTCTCTCACTCTCTCTCACTCCCCCCTCCCCACAAAAAAGTTCAAGGCCTTCTTGGAGGACAGCTGTTTACACCAGATGACAAACATGCCCAAGCTAACACCCTTGAAGAGATAGACATGATTCAAATAATGGTATTCTAGGTCTTATATCAAAATTTCAAAATAGAATTTATTCCCCCTATCATGTCCAACAATTTCAGTAACTGTTGATTTCAGTTTTTTAAAGCACCATAAGGATTTTTAAAATAGAAAAAAAGCAGGATACAAATTATAGATTATAATAGGCTGTCAATTAAGTTTTTAAAATATGCTTAGAAGAAAAAGGAAATACATCAAAATGTTAGCAGTGGTGATGTCGAAATGATAGAATTATGAGTAAAGTTTATTTTCTCCTTTATACTGTTCTGTATTTTCCAAAATTTTTACCTTTTTTATTTTTAGTTATAAAGTAATTCAAAACTTACAAAAACAATATGACAGACACATAATATACCTACCACCAGACTATTATAGATGTTAACATTTTGCCAAATTGGATTCAGATGTCTTAATAGTGCTTTTTGAGAATTGTGTTATATGTATAGCTAAAGCTCTCCCTTACCTCATAATTTTTCTTTTCCTTCCTCCTCAGGAATATTTATCATTCCCAAACATTTTATACTTATAGTATTTACGTATGTATCCATAACAATATAAATGATTTTTCTGTGTTTTTAAAACTTGCATAAATGGTATCCTATTGAATAGATCTTTTTTTTTTTTCTAGTCCAGATTGATGCCTTTATTACCTTATAACTTGGGCAATTTGTTGGATGATCATGTCACTCACCAAAATGGAAACCATAGGATGCAGGACTATTGGGAGGAGGGGGAGAGATGAGCTCAGTTGGGACATGATGAGTTTTAGGTTCCTGTTTGACATTCAGGTGAAGGAATACAGTAAGAAGTTGGATATGTGAGTCTGGAGATCAAGAGAGAGATCCAGGCTAAACAGAAAAGATTTGAGAGTCATCAAGCACCATAGATGGTAGTTAAAGCTGTGGAAAAGTGGTTCTTAACCTGAGGAGTAAGGACCCCCAGGGGGTCTGCCAGTTACTTCAGGATGTCCATGTAATCCTAAAATTATATGCAACATGCCCTCCCCTCAGAAGATTCCTGGAATTTATCATATTCTCCAGGATTTCCATGAAGCCAAAAAAAGGTTAAGAATAAGTGTGAAAAGAGAAGGTTTGGGGAGAAACATTGGGGCTCTCCAATATTTAAGAAATGAAAGAAGACTGATAAAGAAGGCCAGAAAGTTTGGAAGCAAATCATGGAAAAGAGTCACAGAAGTTAAAGTGTCAGGGTTAGGGGTCGGTAATCTTGTCTGTTCTCAGTTCTTGGTGGGCTCTTGGCTGAAGAATGACAGACACCAAAAGCAAGGTAAGCATGAAGCAAGGTTCACTGAAGAGGGAAAGATAGGTTTACAGAGTGAGAGCAAGTTACATTTGCCACAGACAATGAATGGACCCCTTGTCACAACAAAAAGGCTGGTATCCTATTGAATAGATCCTTTTGCAACATATGTTTTTCATTCAGTTTTATTTTTGAAATTAATCAGTGGTCTACATATAGAGAATACTCATTTTAATTGTTTATTTTTTTTTTTTTTGAGACAGAGTCTCACTCTTTTTGCCCAGGCTAGAGTGCCGTGGCGTCAGCCTAGCTCACAGCAACCTCAAACTCCTGAGCTCAAGCGATCCTCCTGCCTCAGCCTCCCGAGTAGCTGGGACTACAGGCATGCCCCACCATGCCCGGCTAATTTTTTCTATACATACATATTTTTAGTTGTCCAGACCATTTCTTTCTATTTTTCAGTAGAGACGGGGTCTCGCTCTTGCCCAGGCTGGTCTCGAGCTCCTGACCTTGAGCGATCCACCCGCCTCGGCCTCCCAGAGAGCTAGGATTACAGGCGTGAGCCACCGCGCCCGGCCTACAATATGTATTTTTAAATTAATAAAAGGAGTAAGATTATTTTTTACAAGTTTGGCACTAGTTTAAAAAGGTTCAAAACACCAGTTTAACAGGATTTGAATGGTAATGGGCATGTAGTTGAGGCTGACTGAAGTCCAAGACTTTGTGTAGATACTCATTCTAAGCATCCCGCCATTGGATTTATAAAATATAATTGAGCAACCTTTCACATAATCATAAAAGGTGGAAATTAACTAATGATGGGCCCAGTGGCCTCCTGAGTGAAGAAGGTTAGATAGGGGAAGAATGCAAGTGTATTTCATCATCTTTTCGATGTTTTTTTGGTAACGCGTCCATCAGGAAATACATTACACACAAAAGGCAAGGAAACCTTCACATACGTGAATTTTTCTAAACTCAGGTATTCTTTTACATGTACTAAATGCAAAAAGCAAATATGAAACGGCAGCTACTTTTTATAAGGCAACAAAAATTTCACATCCCAATAAATATACAGATTTCCTGTGCCAGGACAGCATATATTTCACTGCTCTATTATTATCTGTCAGATAAATTAGTTTATTGAGGCAACAGTTAACTTTCAACCGGAATCTGGTTTCTGAGCTAAGAAAGGATATCTGAGCCGAGAGAGCCAAAGGAAGAGGCACGGAGGAAACCGCCACTTTGGCCTTGCTCCTCCGGCGCTGCACGCCGGCGTGGAGGGGACTCGAGTCCAGGCTCCGCGCTCGCCGGGTGGCCTCGGCGCCATCTGGCCTCTCTGGGCCTCAGTCTTCTCGACTATAAAACGGAGGGGAATCCCAGTCCGTCAGGGTCAAACAAAAACAGCGGTGCCAGGGACTCAGCAAAAGCTCGACAGACAGGGCCATGAGCACTGCATTCCTGGGTCAAAGCTTCCCTGGATCCAAAGAGCTGCCCCGGCTCCTTAGAACCGCTGACCGCCGCGAATCTCCCTCTCAGTCTCTGGATGAGACGTGGAGGGGACGGAGAGGAGTGACTAGGGCTCAGAGCAAGAGAGGAAGCCGCCAGAGCAGGAGGAGCGAGCGCGAGGAGAAGAGGGCCCACGGCAGAACCGGGGTTGCGGGGCGGACGGCTGGGGCTGAGGGGGGACGCGGGGCGAGGGCCGGGGTCCAGGCCCGGGACAGAAGGCCCGGGTGGAGGACGACGGTGGGTACCCAGGGGCGGGGGGAGGGCTGGGTCCGAGGTGGGGCGGGGGCGACGGCCGGGGTCCAGGCCGGGGACAGAAGGCCGGGCTGGCACCCCCAGCAGCCGCCCGCAGTCCAGGCCGCGCGGTCCCCCTCACGTCCCCTCA